GTTGTAACTCAGAAATGATTTAAGAAATTTTTTATAACTCTATTGGACTCTACTTTGAATAATAAGAATGTATTTAGCTCTAAGTTGAAACGATGATCCCTCTTTCTGTTGTGACCTCCTGATGAAGTTTTCCTCTCTATTGTTCCCTCTTTTAAATACTTATTCATCATTCTCTTGATGTTTCTTAATAGATTTTAACCTGTTCTTTTTTCTAATTCAATAACTCAAAGGGTTTTCATTGATTCTTACGACAAATGGTGTCAACATGGCTAAGCGTTTTACTAAAAACCTCTAGAGTTTATTTTTAGATATCAAACATTTTGTGGGACTGACAATTATCCCATGCTGGTACACGATTCGGTCAATTTTGTTGTACGTCCGAAATTTGGAGCAGAATATTCAAGTTGTTATTGACTGTTATGTCCACAAAAACAATGTTCTACTAATCGTTGCTAATATGGAAATAGTAGTTAATTTACCTCTCGAAATGACAACCAAAACGGTTTAGTACAAGTTAGAATAATGCTAAAGTCACACACACACACACACACACACACACACACACACACATATATATATATATATATATATATATATATATATATAGATAGATAGATAGATAGAGAGAGAGAGAGAGAGAGAGAGAGAGAGAGAAGGTTATTCAAAAAGAATGAACCGATTGCATAACGCATTTCAGTTCTCAAGCATCATCATGGAATGAGTTAGTGATCATTTGAAAGAGGAGTTTTCTAAGTTTTGAATGGCTGTCACAGGAGCACCGTACTCGCGTCGTACCTCCGGCAACATTCAGTTATTTGTTTACCCTCGGAATGTCGAGTCCGCCGCAAAAGGCGTTCTGCGTTCTCTAGATCGCGAAATCAAATACGGTTTTCACAGTGCAGTGTGCTTTTCGGGAGTAATTCGAAATTAAACCGCCCTCTCCTAAGATCATTCGACGATGGTTTAAACAGTTTCAAGAGAGTGGGTATCTGTGTAAAGGAAAAAAAAAAGTCCAGGACGGCCACGAGATTCGGAGGAAGAAGTGGCGAGATTCCGTGCTGGGTCTGAGGTGAGTACACGCAGTCCACAATTCGAGGTAGTCCACTATCTGGCGTGTGCTACGACGGCATCTCATTCAAGCACTTACCAAGACCTTGCTCTTTATGCTTGGCCTGAGAGATTCCCAGACTTCTTCCTGTGTGATTTTTCTTGTGGGTATACGTAAAAGATCGCGTTTATGTGCCACCACTACCAACTAACTTCCATGACTTTAAATATCGAATAACATCAGCAATTAATTCACTGGATCGTGAAATGCGTCTGGGAGGAATTCTATTACCCCATTAATGTTGGCCTTCTGAAGGCAGATGCCATATTGAACACTTGTATGGTAGGAATTAAAAGTAAATAGAATACTTGTGACTGGAGTTTCTTTTGTTTTCCTTACTGAAATATTGCGTAATGAAATCGATTCATTCTTTTGAATAACCCTGAACATATATATATATATATATATATATATATATATATATATATATATATATATATATATATATTTGAAATAAAGACCAAAGAAAAACCTATCTTAACTAATGCGTTTCGCCCTCTGATAGACTTTTTCAAGACAAATTTAAGGATTTAATTTTCCTGCACGTATTTATAAATCAGGAATCTCAACTGAAACATGCAAATCCACTAAATATAACCTTCAGACTAATAATAATGTTGGATTTTTAAAAAAATACTTAATTGCTTAACTGTCTACATCTACGCACTCAAACACACACGCACGTGCGCGCAAGCACACACACACACACATACATATTTTACAAGATAATATTTTAGGTGTGATATGATTATGAAAATTATCGTCCAGTCTTTCCAGGCTATGTGCTGGAACACGAATATAATTCACCTCAATCCATGACTCGACCACGTGCCCAGCACCGCGATGGAATGAAAGTGAACAGCATTATATGGCGCCCATGGTTTAAGATAAAAGAACAATCACAGACGATAGGATATTGATGGGTATCATCGAGGGTACTTCTTTGGAATTTGTGCTGATATTACCATGCCTATTAGAAACTTCTGTCAACGTCAGAGAAAGAGATGTTATACAAGAAGGGAAAAAAACATATTACACAGGAAGAAAAGAGTCTTACATAATATTCTCGTTGGTTTAGCTGCACATTTCATTTTAGCACCAAGTTAAAAATATATCAACTATTATTTCTCAATGCAGACATGCTTCCCAGCCTTAATGGATGGAAATCTTAAATCCTAATACATTTTAGATCTTAGTCTTGCCTCCCCTGTTCAAATGGTTACCATCAAGAAGCTAGCTATTTCTCAGTCTGTGTAGTTGGCGGCCAATGCCATAAACACAGCGAGACACTTCTGATTGGAAGCGGCCATTTTAACGGCTTTGAAGAAAATTCAAGAAATTGCATATCGTCATTTTTTTAGACCAAAAATAGTCAGGCTTGTATTTTATTCAATTACGACGAATTGATATCAAACTTTAAGTCATAAACAAAAGGTCAAATGATTCATTCCTGGATACATATCATTTGACAGGTGAAAAATGGAAGAAAAATATTTATAATATGTGAGCAATTTTCTCATTCAATGAATTGTTTCTCGGGTGATTTTCGGGGATCGTGTCGTCATGTGTTTGAGGGTGTCATGTCGGCCTTTTTCAAGTAACGTGTTGTTACTCATCAAATTTAATGTGTCGTGTTCTTTTCGTTTGAATTTTAGCAAGTTTCTCCACTAATTTGACCCTGTGCCCGACTATAATTAGTTTTCTAAATTTCTATTTTCATTGAAGTAAAACAATGAGTCTTGATTGTATAAAACTTTTCGTGTGCTACATTGGTTGCTGGGAGATATGGAGGGGATAATTTGAATATTCCATAACATGAATTGTCTTAAAATCGGATCACCGTGGGGGCTTGTTTTTCATCTGATGTTTTTGTAAATTCCCTTTTTGCCGTTTATTCTTTTAAGGAGAAATAACATCGGTGTGAAATTAAAAAACGAAGCAGACTTTCATGGCAATTAAATTATGTTTGATCGTTATGGATTAGGTGCCAATATTGTTAACTTTCTGATTGATCGATTGTTAATTTTTCAGGAAGTCAATCGGCAAAAAAAAAATGGTGGTATTCAGATAAAAACGAAATTTCATTTGGACAGCAGAGCAGTTCTTTCTTTTTGTTCTTGGCTTTCTTCCCGTATTACTATTTTATTTGTCTCTACCTTTCGCCTCTCTCTCTCTCTCTCTCTATCTATCTATCTATCTATCTATCTATATATATATATATATATATATATATATATATATATATATATATATATATATATACATATATATAGCAGTATGCTTATATCTATCTATCTTACTCTGCTCATATCCATGTGTACATCTATCTTATTCTGTTTCTTTTCTATCTACCGATATCTCTTAGTTTGCTCATATCTATCTATCTATCTATCTATCTATCTATCTATCTATCTATCTATCTATCTACACATACACGCGCGCACACACACACATCTCTCTCTCTCTCTCTCTATCTATCTATATATATATATATATATATATATATATATATATATATATACAGTGGGGTTGAATAAGTGATCGTACAGCAAACAAATGCTTTTATTCTCACTTATAGCAAATGAAAACCTCGAATAACAAACATATATATGTATTTTGGGGAATAGAATAAGAATCTGCAATTTAAAATTAGAATTCATCGATAAGTGATAGTTATGCAAATTTTTATATTTCGAAAAATGGAAAAAGTGTTCGTACAGTATCAATGTTTGCATTATAATACGCTAGATTTTGGTTGTACTTCAAAGTAGAAGATTGTAAACTGTTCTAGAATATTCTCAGTAACTCTATTGCAACATTCTGTTCAAAATTGGATCATTCTGCAGTCACTGTTCACTGATAACAGTTCTAATAATGGCTGGACATAAGGAAATGATTTGTGCTCAAAAAGAGCTAATTATTAAGCTATGGAACAATGGAAAAAGTTACTGAAACATCTCCAGTGACTCGAACATACCTTTTTCAACAATTGGTTCATTTATTGCAAGATTTAAAAGACGTAATACTTTTGAGAACAAAGGCAGGCCCGGTGCTCCCAGGAAGATCTCTCCCAGATTAAGAAGTTGATGAGACAGGTCCAAATTAACCCAATGGCCATCAGACAAGACCTTCAGAATGATCTGAGTTTGTCAGGAGTTAACGTAACTAAGCAAACGATTAGTAATTAACTATGCAGAGATGGTATAAAGTCGTGCTCCCAAAGAATGACACCACTCCTTCTGAAACGGCATAGAGATGCCAGGTTGAAATTTGCGACAGAACATAAAGATAAGGAAAATTCATATTGGGAGAGCGTTCTTTGGACAGATGAGTGTAAAATTGAGTTGTTCGGTCGCAATTTTCTGAATCATGTGTGGAGGAAAGACGGCGAAGCATACGCACCCAAGATCACCATACCAACTGTCAAATTTGGTGGGTGTAGTATCATGGTTTGGGGCTGCTTTTCGATGCAAGGTGTTGGCAAACTAGCAATTATAGACGGTAGAATAAATGCATAAAAATATCAACAAATCCTAAGCGAAAGTTTATCACTTTCTGTAGAGAATCTTGGGCTTCCTCCTGATTTGATCTTCCAACAGGACAATGCTAAGAGTATACTGTTAAGAGTACGAAGAATTGGCTTGCTAATAACAATGTTAACATCTTACAATGGCCCAGTCAGTCGCCGGATTTGAATCCAATAGAGAATTTATGGCGGTTTTTGAAAAAATAAGATTCGTGATAGAGGTCCAACAAGCATCAAAAACCTGATGACAATTACTCAGGAAGAATGGGAAAAAATCGATACTAAAGTATGCGAATCGTTAATTAACGACCACAGGAAGAAATTGGTTGCTGTTGAACTTAATAAAGGCTTTGCCAGAAAATATTAAATGAAGAAAACATGTTTTTGTTCTGCTATACGATCATTTGTAAAACCCCTAAAAATTTAAATATTGCTATATTTTCTTAACCATGGAATATTATTTAGTTTTATATGCATACATTTTAGTATGGACTCTGACATAGATATATTCACGTTTTGTTAATTTGTTACAAATAAAAATAGGAATATTTTCATGTGTACGATCACTTATTCAACCACACAATATATATATATATATATATATATGTGTGTGTGTGTGTGTTTGTTTGTGAATAATAGTGATTTATTAAACAGTATATTTATTTTCAGTCTATCGCAAATTTTTCTTTAATAAGATTTCTTGAATATTTGACTTGAGAAATCTTATTACATAAAAAAATTGCGCTCTCCAACAGGAATCGAACTGGCATACTTCAGAGCAGAGGGAGCTACCGTTTAGCCTGGAACTCCTTACTGACTTGGCCAGAGTCACCAGTCTGTTATGCGGGGGTCAACATTTTTCTTTACTTAAATTTCTTGAACATTCAAAACAGTTGACGAACATAAATCAAGATTTTGTTTAATATTTTCTCAATCTGCATGTCTATCAATCTATCACTATTCAAATATACCTACCCCATTTTGTTTTTATATATATATATATATATATATATATATATAGAATGTGTGTGTGTGTGTATTTTTATAATTATTTTTTGATATAATTCCAACGCGACACAGAAATTACTGCTTCGAAACTGACTCGAGTTCTAAAGTTCATTTTCAAAGTTAAAATTTAGACTACAGTTTCATTCTCAAGCGATTCTTGAGAGTGAAACTGTATTCAAAGTTTAAGTTTAATATTGACTTAGGAGTTAAGTTTAATATTGACTTAGGAGTTAAGTTTAATATTGACTTAGAAGTTAAGTTTAATATTGACTTAGGAGTTAAGTTTAATATTGACTTAGGAGTTAAGTTTAATATTGACTTAGGAGTTAAGTTTAATATTGACTTAGGAGTTAAGTTTAATATTGACTTAGAAGTTAAGTTTAATATTGACTTAGGAGTTAAGTTTAATATTGACTTAGGAGTTAAGTTTAATATTGACTTAGAAGTTAAGTTTAATATTGACTTAGGAGTTAAGTCTAATATTGACTTAGGAGTTAAGTTTAATATTGACTTAGAAGTTAATTTTAATATTGACTTAGGAGTTAAGTTTAATATTGACTTAGAAGTTAAGTTTAATATTGACTTAGGAGTTAAGTTTAATATTGACTTAGGAGTTAAGTTTAATATTGACTTAGAAGTTAAGTTTAATATTGACTTAGGAGTTAAGTTTAATATTGTCTGTAGATCTTGAGTCCGTTTCGAAACAGTAATTTCTGAGTCGCGATGGAGTCATATTTTTTCAAATAATTATAATTTAATCAATACTTCTGTATAGAGCACTGTTTTTTAAAAATAAAAGCATAAGTACTAAACACCTTAGATCATTAATCTCACTGTTCTTTCCCATTACATCAACATATACACCCCCCATATATATATATATATATATATATATATATATATATATATATATATATATATATATATATATGAGACTCTATCTATCTATCTATCTATCTATCTATCACAATCTCTTCATATGTCTATCTATCATAATCTCTTCATATCTATCTATCTATCTATTATCACCGTTTCTTCATATCTATCTATTTTCACTGTCTCTTCATATCTATCTATCTATCTATCTATCTATCTATCTATCTATCTATCTATCTATCTATCTATCTATTATTTATCTTTGCACAATAACTAATTTTTTTGACGAGGTACTAGAGTTACGTCCGTATGTTTTTGCTTATTTTCCCGTTATCATGTTATTCTTTTTTTGTTCTTTTGTGCCATTTTCCATTCTTTTTATCCTTTGCATCTGCTCCTTGCCTTCGACATTTTTCTTTCTTTTCGTTATAAAAATATCCGTTATTTATTTATTTTTTTTGTATTTTTACTATATGAGCATTCTATTCATTTATCGAATATTTCCCGTTCTTCAAACCATTAAGAATCCTTCTCACACGAGAATAATTTCCCTTTTCTTTTCAGCATTTTGTTAAAATCCAGAAAACTTTTGAGGAAATCACAAATGAATAATGACGGAAAAAAATGGTCCAATCTTTTTTATTTTCTAAAAAAAAAATAAAAATACTGTACTGTCTAACATGCATGAAAAAATATAACAGGAAAAAAAAAACACACTTTGTTTTAGGCTTTGTTATTATTTATCTCTATTTCCATAATTCGCTGCATGATTGTGCCCTGGGCTCTAACCAAAAGTAGAATTGGACACCAAGTTCTTTCAGCTGCATTTTCACGTTCTTTGTGGTCAGAGAAATGGAATCCGAAGATACAAACTCTGGCAATAAAAGGCGGGAAACTCTACTGAATGGAGTTGTAGAGTTTTAATAAAACGAAGTGATTGTCAAAAGCGAAGCAATAAATTAGTGAAATGTAATTGTTGATGAGGTATTGAAGGTAGAACAAAAAGAAGAATAAATAAAGTTGATCCCCAGAAATGAGAGGTGAGGAGAAGGAGGAGGAGAGGGAGAAGGAGGAAGAGGAGGAGGGGGGGAGAAAGAGGAGGGTGGAGGAGGAGGAGGAGAATAAAAAAAATAAATAGAAGGTAGAACAAAAAGAAGAATAAATAAAGTTGATCCCCAGAAATGAGAGGTGAGGAGAAGGAGGAGGAGAGGGAAAAGGGGGAAGAGGAGGAGGGGGAGAAAGAGGAGGGGGGAGGAGGAGGAGGAGGAGGAGAATAAAAAAAAACGATAGAAGTCAGAAAGTGAGTTGGATTTTGAAAGAAAGGAGAATAGAAAAGATATATAGAGAGATCAGGTGGGAGAGTCGGAGAAAATGTAATATGTGAAAGAAAGGTTGTCGAGACAAACAGTGCGAAAAGATGAAAAGAATTAAAAGGGAGAGAGAAATGCTAGTCGAGGAAGAAAAGAAAAAAAATATGAAAAGCAAAGAAAAAGTAAAGAGAGAGATAAAATCAAAATAAAAGTCAGATGAAAGACAGCGTGTGAAAAATAAAAGAAGAATGAAGACCAAATAAAAAAAAATGGAACAATATTAACGAAAACGTAAGTTTTCTTTAAGTCCGTTGTTAACTGGGGTAAAAATGACTTGTTAATTTTAACGCCCCCAAAACTAAAATCCTATCCATTAATAATCTGAGCGATCCCTCTGTCTTCCGTCAGTATGGCTGATGCTAGCCTCCAGGTAAGTGACTCGTTGCGCCTCCTAACAGCTGACATGAAATGGAAAGTCTATATCGAATAATCGAATGAGCTTACGGTCAAATCACGCTGAAACACCGGTTCTCGTTCGATCACCGAAGTTAAGCATCGTAGAGCCAGGTCAGTACTTAGATGGGGGACCGCTTGGGAACACCTGGTACTGTAAGCCCCCAAAGTCCAACCCTTACCTCACAGTCGGTGGAGGAGGGGGTGTAAACGGTAGTGTCAGAGCTATGCCGCCCGGAACTTCGTTCCTGGTAGGGCCACCCAAGGCGGACAGGTCTGACACACACGCCAGCTAACAAGGGCTCTGGTGAAAATCCAAGGAGCGTCTGCATCGGTAACCGGCGGCTTCTGGTCGTTCCTGTCTCTGCGTCTGTGGGAACCCCGCGGCAAGCAAGAACGTTATCCGAGTAGGCCTGGGTACCTTACTTCTGTAATTTATCCCAAGAATCTTCTTCTCATAACAGGAAGAAGTCGGCTCAATCCGTTCAGGGTAAATGCCGCATCAGTACAGTAGTACAGTATATCGAATACATACCTAGGTCAGCTGCTAAGAAAGTTGGTTCACTGTGTCGTGCGAGGAAGTTTTTCTCTCCAGAATCTACCAGCATATCTATGTCTACTAATTGTCCATATTTACAATATTGCTGTTACATATGGCCCGGAGCGTCTGCTATTTATCTTGGGCTCCTTCACAAGAGCCAAAGAAGAAGCAGGAATATCATTGTTCCTGATATGTCGGCTCGGCTTCAGTCACTCACCAACCGCCATAAGATTGTGTCTTTCATTGTAACTGTTCGGATGAACTCTTCGCTATGTAACTTAGACTTTATGAATTTAAGCTCAGTACTAGACTGGCGTCTAAAACTCACCAATTTACACTTGAGCTGCCTCGATGTAACCGTAAGTTCTATGCTAACAGCATCTTTTCTCGTACTTTTCGCATGTCAACCTCCTTTCCGACTCCATGCTTTCCAGCCAGCGTTAACCGGCCAAATTGTAAATGCAGTGTCAACCGCTATCTACTGTCCTCCTGATTACGTTTTTCTCTTCCCGTTCATTATTAATGTTTCTGTTCCTGATTCTTTCACACCCTGTAACCAGTTGCGTTTTATTGGCTTTACTGCCTTGCATGGGGTGATACCGAGTTTAATAAAAGAAAGAGAAGAAAAAAAAACGTAATGATTATATGTTCCATAGATTCGATTTGGGCAGAAATAAAATGGATAATAACGGAAAAAGAAGAATATCAACAAAATTTAGAGTACAGTAAGATTTTCGAATTCTGAGTTCGAAGAGGAATGAGGCTAAAATGAACAAAGAAACAAACTGAAGGAATGGACACGAAGAGGAAGAATTGATTAGATTATTTACATTATTCGGACTGTTATACTTTATTGCCATATTCACAACATTTCAGCCTATGTATGCTCCGGCATTCTTCAGATGATTAAACTTTCTAATCGAACCCTTTAATTTCGTCGACCGGGGTAGGTCGTTCTAGTTTCACGTGCCAAGCCTCATCCAGTTTTCTCAGTTATTTCCCTTTAACTGAACTCTCCTAGTTTTTGGTTCACCCCTGTTGTAGCCTGGTATTGAACTCAACTACTTGATGACAGATGGTCCAGTGGATAAACATGTTGGTTAGACCCAGTGACTAGACCCAAAGAGTTGTGAGTTCAATACCAGGCTATAGCAATGATGAACCAAAAACGGCCGGAAATTTAACAAGATGAGGATGACAGTCGGAATTACAAACATTATCATAATCCTTTAATATTCACGAATATTTTTCCGTATATTACAATTAAATAAGGCAAGAAATGCACTGTAATGGCGAGAATCACTTTTATATCCCAAATATGAAAGAAATGGAAAGTTCTTGGGAAAATATTTGTGAATATGAAAGAATTAAAATAAAAATAAGCAAACATAATGTTTGTAATTTATTCAATCAGACAAACCTAAAAGAGAATTTGCTGCCCAAATACACACACACACGCACAAATATATATATATATATATATATATATATATATATATATATATATATATTCGATAAAACGAATCGAGTTCTCTGAATCACTGGCGTGTTTATCTAAAAATAAGTATCCTTACATTCACCTTCATCCCTGCCGTCCAACAACGCCAATGTGTGTGTGTGTGTGTGTGTGTGTGTGTGTGTGTGTGTGTGTGTGTGTGTGTGTGTGTGTGTGTGTGTGTGTGTGAAAAGTGTATATAAATGTAAATAAATATACATATGTATAATTATTTATATATTATATACGCGGTACTTTTTAGAAAGCGCTCAATATCAGAGATAGAGCTAACATATTTGGTTGGATAGATGTGAGTTTGTGACCCTGGGTTTCCCTTTTAGCGATCGTCAGACAATATATATATATATATATATATATATATATATATATATATATATATATATATATATATATTCTGATATGTAAGCCTTTGTTGAGGTTCTGTAGAATGGGAGTTAATCCATATACTTTTTTCTAAAAACATATTTCTGAGCTATCTATCTATATATATATATCACTATCTAGCTCTCCTGCTCTCCTAATCTCTCTCTCTCTCTCTCTCTCTCTCTCTCTCTCTATATATATATATATATATATATATATATATATATATATATATGAATGAACAGTATTTTAATGCATATATTATGTTTTCTAGAGATGGATGTCGCCAATAATCGCATTAATACTTCTGATTGATTCTATGTGTGATTATTTCTTTTTGTATGTAAATTATATGCTGCCTAATGTTTTATGTTTATAAAAACTATCGATCCGCAGTACATAAAATTATTCCTATAAAAAAAAAACTACTAAGACATTACACTATATTATTGAACTATATACTTAGTTCATGACATAAAAACTGAATACACTTGTAAAAATAGAATGCGTGGATTTAACACATCACAAGAAATATTTAAATAGAATTCTCACTTAAAATTTTGAAAAACTTAGCGTTGCGTCTTTGCACGTTCCGAGATCTTACACAACCGTCAATAATAGCAGATATTCAAAAAACATCTTTCGGTCGACATACAGGTATATCGTCTCAAGTTTTTGATTTTATAAGGAAAAAAACACATGCCTGATGATGAATCGAAGACTATTCGTAAGTACTACCATTTTAACATCAAATAAACTGAAAAGTACAGACAACAAGTTTATCGACGAGGACCAACTCGCACTATGGATGAACAGTATTTTAATGCATATATTATGTTTTCTAGCGATGGATGTCGCCAATAATCGCATTAATACTTCTGATTGATTCTATGTGAGATTATTTCTTTGTATGTAAATTATATGCTGCCTAATGTTTTTATGTTTATATATATATATATATATATATATATATATATATATATATATATATATATATATATTTTGTATATTTAGGCAGCAATCCTTCCTTTTTTATGCATGTTTCATTAAAACGACAGACAAGGTACTACGGTTGAGCTTTTTATTTAATTTTTCTTGTGTTCTGACAAGAGCTTTCTTTTCTGGACAAAGAGTGTGTAAGAACTGTCCGAATGTTTTGTATTTCCGAGCGCTTTCGGCTATACCTTTAGCCACTATCAAGGATGATTCAATTATCAGCTTAGTAGGGTGTGTGTGTTCTGTGTATGTTCAGTATGTGGTAGTGATGTTTTTAGTTTCCGAATACAGTTAGCACACACTCTTTGTCCAGAAAAGAAAGCTCTTGTCAGAACACAAGAAAAATTAAATAAAAAGCTCAACCAGTACCTTGTCTGTCATTTTTAATGAAACATGCATATATATATATATATATATATATATATATAAAGTTTTCAATGCCAGGCTTGTCGTACAGACATTTTCTTATATATATATATATATATATATATATATATATATATATATATATATATATATATATATATATATATATATATATATATATATATATATATATATATATATATATATGTGTGTGTGTGTACAGAAGAGAAATGTCTGTACGACAAGCCTGTACAGACATTTCTGTCGTACAGACATTTCTCTTCTGTATATATATATATATATATATATATATATATATAAAGTTTTCAATTCAGGCTTGTCGTACAGACATTTCTCTTCTGTATATATATATATATATATATATATATATATATATATATATATATATATATATATATATATATATATATATATATATATATATATGTGTGTGTGTATACAGAAGAGAAATGTCTGTACGACAAGCCTTTGCAACTTTTTCTGTCGTACAGACATTTCTCTTCTGTATATATATATATATATATGTATACAGAAGAGAAATGTCTGTACGACAAGCCTGGCATTGAAAACTGTTTGAGTTTGAATAAAAACGTCTAAATAAAATGAAACAAGATTGAATAGAATTATTGATAAGATGAACATATATAAACTATGTAGGAAAGTAAAGAAGAAGCAAAGGAAGGAAATATAAGTAGAAGAAATTGATTACAATAAAAATAGAATGGTTTTCATTTTTCTCTTATTACTTTTGTTTACTTTCGTTTATTCTGATTTGTTTGTACTAAAAGAATTATCTCTTTAAGCTTGTTGCTTTTTTTAATTTTATTCGCATATATTCCTCCTCCTCCTCCAACAGACAACTGTTCTTTCCATTTCCTTTCCATTTTCTTTCTTTCTTGCTATATTTTCTTTGTTTGTTTCTTTCTTTCCTGTAAAGTTCTTTCTTACTTTTTATTTTCTTTCTTTCTTTTTCCTTCTTTCTATTTTATTCTTTCCTTCTTTTAATCCTTACTTTCTATTTTCTTTCCTTCTTTCTTTTCATTTTTTTTTTTTGGCTATGATTCATTCATCTTTTTTCATTTTCTTTTTTCTTTTTCTTACATCTTTGTTCTTTTCATTTTCTTTCCGAATTCATGTTTGTTTCTTTATTTCATTATTTCTTATAAGTTTCTTTCCGTATTTTTTGTTCGGTCATTTGACTGTTTCTTTCTTTCTTTTACCTTCTCTCCCACCTATGGACCCAACTCAAAATTGTCATTTCCTTCAGGTAGCATGCTTTCTAATTTCCCATTTTTCATCAAACAACTTACATTGTAATTTTTTTTTATAGAATTTTTTTTTCTCTTTACTTTAAATAAAAGGCTACAACCAACGAAATTTAATCAAATGTAAAAATAAATTACTTAGATTTATTAAAGAACAAAAAATATCGAATTTTATCCGCAAAATACAAACTTTTTTAAGGAAAAATTAAAAAAAAATCTCAACCACAACGGTACCCAAAATTGCTATAAACAACCATTTTCTTTTTTATCTTCTTTATCACGTTCCCTCGAGACAAAAGGAATTTTGATCAGCATATAATTAAGGTATTTTGTTAGTTTGTTTGAAAAGACATTACAAAAGGCTTTTTGTTTCGTTTAAAGAAACGATTCTGAATTTAGGATATTTTAAATTGTACGTTAATTTTTAAAACATTCTGACGAAGAATTTTATTTCAATACTTTAATTAGTAGTTTTATTTCTAATAAATAAAGATTATGCAATAACAATTGCGTATGTATTATAATAGCGATTTCTAAAAGATAATGATAAGGAAGTTTTATAGTAAAAGTTACGGTAACCATTTTTCTTGGGCTTGAGAAATGTTTTCTTTTATGATTCGATAATCATAATAGTGACGATAAAATAGTATTAAGCGTCAGTTTATCTCGTGAGATAATGATAGCGACCTGTTTGATCAAATTTCAGTCCTTTATAGGTGACCCTGATGTGGTCTCTCCAGGGTGCAGGCGTTAGCGATGGTATATGTAGACCGTGCACTGCGCATCCCACATGCACACCTTTAGGATTATCCGTTTGGATTTACTTCCTTTTCCGCGTTTTGCTATGACAGCAGGGTTGAAAAATCAGGGCTTTCCTTCTTCTAGATGTGGTGACTTTCCGGGATGAAGAACTAATCTACACGATGGAGCTGGTTATTAGACGCCAGTGATCCGCATTCGTCACTTGAGGTTTTTATTTATTTTTCCCTTACATAAATTGGGTCTTTTAAAAGCTCCCCCAAATTAACGTCTTCTTGAAAATGTTTATACAACGTTAGATGCACAAAAACAAAAGAAAGCTAGAAAATGTCGTATGTAAATAAACAAAGACAAATATTGAAATTTGATAACTGTTGAAAAATGGAGCAAAAAGAAAAAGAAAAAGTAGAAAAAAATGAAAGTAATGACCATAATAGTATAGATTAATTTTATTGTGGATTTTTAATATTCTTAATTTTTTTTTTCTTTTTCTCTTTCTTTTCATTCTTTTCGGTTCTTTTTATTTATTTCTTTTTCTTTCCCTTTCTTTCTTTTCTTTAGCTTTTCTTTTTTTATTTCTTTCATTTGCTTATTTCATTTCTTCTTTGTTTCCTCCCTTTTTCTTTCTTTTCTTCTTTTGCTTCGTTTTGTTTCCCTTTCTTTCATTCCTTATCTCCTATTTTCTTTTCCCTTTCTTTTCATTTGCTATTCTTTCTTTCTTTTTCATTTTAGCTTTCATTTTTTACCATCTTTCTTTCTTTCTTTCTTTCTTTCTTTCTTTCTTTCTTTCTTTCTTTCTTTCTTTCTTTCTTTTGCTTACCTCATTTCTTCTTTCATCACTTTCTTCTTCCTTTCGTTCGTTCCTTTCTTTCTTCTTTTATTCCTTTTATAATTTAAAATGAATAAAATAAAAATTGTAAAAAATACCGCGGAGACAGGAGGTCTGACCTAGAAGGTGACATTAAAACGACCAACTGCAGAAGGATTTCGGTGGCTTTATTAAAATTAACATGAACTGAAGATAAACATGCCCAAGTCAACCGAATAAAAAAAGTAATTTTGTAAACGCCTGATGTACAAGGAAAGAGGGAAACATCGATAAATGTAGCATATAATCATTGTCGTGGAGTACAGTTAAAAATATATTTAGATCGAGGAATACAGTCAGGGCAAACGTTCAACGGTCTCTGATTGAAGGGTATCCCAAATACATACACTTGACTCTTTAGTCAGCATGCGTATCTCACAATCCCTCCCCCAAAAAGCAGCTATTGATCCACGGATATGATGCTCCCCTAATAAATTTGCTCATGAAGAGAGATGCACAGTGCATCTGTCCCTCACAGGTTAAGGTAATATAACTTACGAGCAAATCTGTGTTACGGAATGGGATATTTACTGTAGCCTATCTTGATTCACCAAGACAAAACATGTATATGTTCATTCCTTCAATCAATTAAAATCAGAAGCCATGAGAGGCGTTCCTGATAGAGCAACCAGTCATTATCATTATTGTGATTATTATTAATAATATTAATTTTAAGCATTTATGTTCATGTTCTCGTGTGCCTTTGATTTCTATAATATATATATATATATATATATATATATATATATATATATATATATATATATATATATATATATATATATATATATATGAAGAAATATAGTTTTAAGGTGTGGTATATTTATGGAATAATGTGCTCAATATCAGGGAGAGAGCGGGCGTATGTAAATATAAAAGTGAGCATTTGAGTCAATAGTCATAGGCGACAGACTGTTTGATACTAGACGCAATCATAAGGCCACACGTACCATGAGACTGTCTATCGCTTCTGGATGTTGACTTCAATGTTCATTCATATATATATATATATATATATATATATATATATATATATATATATATATATATATATATATATATATATATATATATATATATATATATATATATATATATATATATATATATATATATATATATATATATATATAATATAAAAGTAATTGATTTAAAATATGTTTTTTCCGCTACACAGTTCTAACCATGTTTCAAAAATGGAAGCTAAAAGCTACGAATTTAATTTTGCAATTAAATTAAAGACATTAGTTCCATTTCATCCTCAAGCGAATTTTGGAGTAACTTTTAAAATTACTGGGTTTTAAAGACACAGCTAAAATCACGTTTCCATGGTTGCAGATAAATCTACTTCAACTGGACAAGGGGTGTCTGGGTTTTCCTTATGTCTGCATCATTGTATCGGTTATTAGCTACATTTTGGTAAGGGGTAGGGATGTATTTTTCAATGAAAACTGACATCCGTTGAATGCATGTCGTCTGGATTTTTTTAAAATTTATTGTTAACGGCAAAAAAATTCTTACGGCATTTTTTTCTATTTGTAAATTTAAAGATTTTCGCCGGTGTTCAGATTAGAATACTTTTTATTTAACTACGATTTGAAATATTCTCATTTTTAATTTTTATTATACTATATTTTTTTAAGAACAGTTAAATGTATTAGAATCCCTTATAGTATGTAGGATTATTTTAACATCAAGTATAAGTATGTATATTAGGTTACATTTTTTATTTTATTTTATTTTTTTTTTATATTATTTAAGTAAAATTTATGACAATGACGTCAAAAATAGTTACTTAATTTCACTGATTTAGTAAACTTTTATTTTTTTATATATATAAACCTAGTAATATATTGTTTCTCATGTAAGTACAAAGTACATGGGTCATTCAAAGCTTACATCTTCTGGCATTTCATATTAATTTTATTTTACTGTAGGTGTTTTATTGGATTCTTTTAAGTGCATGTAGTACTAAGTAAAAGAAGTTTAGGTTAGAAATCATTTTATTTAACTACTATTTTATTTATTTGTACTTTATAATATTAATGCTCTGTAAATTTACATCAAACACTATTTTGTAAAAATAAAAATAACTATAAGAACATATATATATATATATATATATATTATATATATTACTGTTCTTTCTTTTTATTTATATTTATATATATATATATATATATATATATATATATATATATATATATATGTATGTATATACATATATGGTGAAGCAGGTGATCAATGAAGTCTAACGTAACCTTTTTTCTTCTTCACATATTTCCCCATGATATTTACGTATATGGAATGTGCCACAAGTTTACATTCAAATGTTGGATTACACCTCAAGCACATGCATATAAACTTTGTTAAAACAATGACATTTTTCACTGGAGTTGATTCAATATACTTATATACATACACACACACTCACACACACACACCTGTATACTTACTCAAACAACGAAAACATTCACACACAAAACAATATATATATATATATATATATATATATATATATATATATATATTATAAATTAATTGATTTAAAATATGGTTATTTTCGCTACACAGTTCCAACCATGTTTCAAAAATAGAAGCTAAAAACCCTAATTTTATTTTTTGCAAATAAATTAAAAGCATTAGTTCCATTTCATCTTCAAGCGAATTTTGGAGTAACTTTTAAAATTTACCGGGTTTTAAATACACAGCTAAAATCACGTTTCCATGGTTACAGAATATTCTACTCAAATTGAACAAGGGTTTTTAGCTTCTATTTTTGAAACATGGTTGAAACTGTGTAAAAAAATAACCATATTTTAAATCAATTAATTTATAATATTAATGCTCTGTAAATTTACATTGAGCACTATTTTGTAAAAATAAAATATCTATAAGAACACCAGATTTTATATCTTACTGTTCTTTCTTTTTTATTTATATACATATATATATATATATATATATATATATATATATATATATATATATATATATTAAGCCATGGACAAGGTCCGACAATTTATTTATTAAAGACATTTTTATGTTTAACGTTGTTATTTATAGATACAAGTATTTAAGCAAATGTTATTTAATACTGTTTATCATAAACAGAGCATTTGCTTAAATACTTGTATCTATAAATAACAACGTTAAACATAAAAATGTCTTTAATATATATATATATATATATATATATATATATATATATATATATATATGGTACAACTCTCAGTTTCATGCATGTACATGAAACTCAGGCTTGTACCAAACAGTGAAGAAGAAAATATATATTTATTATAATTTTAACTTTGCTAATTTACTTTTATACTGTTTTATTACCAACAATTACTCAGCAAAAATTGATATAACTGTGTGCGTTGGATAAATTGTCGTTTAAATAATGCAAAAATGGAAATAATCACTGACATCGCATTTTAAGAGATATTACCAAAATTACACAAAGATATCTTGACATACGAAAGAATTAATTTATTCAATAAAATCGGAATTGGCTTCAATCACGGCCTCCAGAAGACTTCGAAATCTCCTGCATTTCTTCTGCACGGTCTCCTTGTTTAAGTTGGTGAAAGCTGGCAGAATCCTTGCCTTCAGTTCATCTTTGGTGTTACAAGGAGCTTTGTTGGTCTCTCGCCCAATTGCGCCCATACTTAATAATCAAGTGAGTTGCAGTCTGGAGAGTTAAGTGGCCAGATGTAAGGGGTGACGTGGTCGCAAAAAATTCCAGACAGACATGACACGGTTCTCCAGCTTGTGTAGCATGATGCAAAGTCTTGTTGCTAGATATAGGTACTTCCAGCAGCTATCCACTTGACCCAAGACAGTACTACCGCTTCCAGGCCCTTGATATAAGGCTACATGTTGAGTCTATGTCCTTGTCAAAAGAGGGATGGAGGCCTAACGTCGCCAAACACCTTCGTAATCAACATTCTTTCCGAATCCTCTGCACAGTCCTCAGATTGACACCTAAACACACTGAAATACTAAGCAGTACACATGTCGCTTTTGAATTTCTGGCGGAGAGAACTGCGTCACGGTGCTTCTTTTCTCACAGACGGTAGCCGACTGACTGTAGCATACTATGCCGTCGACAAAATCAAAAACTAACAACGCGCATGCGCGGAATTAAAACTGACAACAATTTACCCATCGCACCCTGTACACACACACACACACACACACACACACACACACACACACACATATATATATATATATGTTGTGTATGTATTTTTAAAATATAATATGCTTTAATTTCCATAATTTTGCTACACGTGTTTCCGGTCTCGCGACCTTCATCAGGCAAAGAGTAGATATTTCCACATATTATTAAAAGGAATGAATATTTCTTGTTTTTCGATGTTGAATATTCTCGATATTAGACATTCTCTTTTCGTATGTTAGTGATCCAAATATCTTCCTTGGGCTGGCAGTGAAAAAGTTCTGCGTGAAGTGTAATAAAACAATTAAGATTGGTCCGAGAAAGGGTGAGCTCTTATATTTTTCTTATCTCTGAAACTCGCGGAGTAACATCTATCTTATGACTTGACTGGAAAATATTCCATCGAGTCTTCCGAAAAGTGGATGTAATATAACTAAACTCAAAGAAGAGGCAGTCATAAGCTAAGCGCGCAAATTAATTTCGTATTCCTATTAATGTTTTATCTATTGATATCAAGCACTATAATTGTACATATTTTTGTTTTAAAATATCACTCAGTATTACCCTGGTCGCCATTTTGGACCGAAATACAACCTTTGTTATTTCTATATATTTGATAAAATATTTTTTGAAGGTATGCTATATTTATGTCTTAAAGTGTTCATTATCAGAGATAGAGCGTATACTGATTTTATACTGTTCATAATATCGATACAGTGTAAAATAGATTCCTAACTTTTCACAGTGTCAATTAACTTACCTGTTACTTATAAATGTCGAGTTTGAAACTGCTAGCATCCTTAATATCTATATGTAATTTTAAAAAAAATTTCTGAAGTAT